GCTCCGCGCTCCAGCGAGCGCGCCCCGGCCCTGCGCCCCCAACGTCCCCCAACCGCCGCCCAGTCCCGAGGGCGCCATGAGGAGCCCGCGCTGCGCCCCGCTGCTGCTCCTGCTGCTGCTGCCGCCGCTGCTGCTCACGCCCCACGCCGGGGACGCCGCCGTCATCACCGGGGTAAGCGGCCCCGCGCACCTGTCTGCCCGGGATGCGCGCCCGCTGCGCCCGGGGGCTGGGGAAGGGGACGCGAGGGGCACGGGAGGGTCGCCCCGAGCGGGGACACCTGCCTCACTCGCCTCTTGGCGCACTTGGAAAAGTGCTCCGCTCTGAAAGCACCAGATGGCTCGGGAAGAAAAAGTGACCCAGGTGTCACCCCACCACCTTCATCACCGCCTTCTCCCGCTTGCTTCCCCCTTGTCTCCCTACAGCCTCTCTCCTCGTGTTTGCTCCCTTTTTCTGTTAAGCTGAAAGAAGTTTTCTTTCAGAGTCTTCTCAAGCACTTTTTCGAGACTTTCCAGCCTCGAACCTTAAAATTTGAGGGCCTCTTTCTGACATGCAAAGGAGCAAGACGAATACCCCAAATCCCGAGTCTTAATCCCATAGGCAAGGAGTTTGCTCCCCAAAGCATCCTCCGCAGAAACCCTTTGAAGTAACTTGGTCCGAGGCCGTGTGTGCGCTCTGGAAAGCCATGTGGGCGCTTCTTCTGGGTTCCAGGGCTGTTTTTCAGCGTCTTGAGGTTCCCCCTGTAAAAGTTTTCTATTTCCAATCCCGATAAAGCAACTCCAGTGCTCTGGCATGATTATGGAGTAGGTTGCCATGTAGATGTTTCGACTTATAACGTCTTCAGCATTTTTGGAAGTAGGAACTAATTCAAGTCTATACTCTCACCAGCAATTTTCTTTGTGTGGTTCTGAAGGATGAGTTTACAGTGCAAAATAAAAAAGTCTAGTCTACTTGACATCAACAATGCAAAACCGCTACCATTTCCTGGTGGTTCAACTGCTGCACTCTTTTTTTTTTTTAAGTCTGAAATTGTTTTACACCTCCATTAAATTATTTCAGATATCTAAGTGCACATTATAGGATTTAAATAAAACTTCTATATTGAAATGATGATACATAGATAATGAAATAACCTTTACATTTAAGGGAAATGTCATTGTCTTGAGAAAATAAAGCTCTGTTGTCTCCATGTTAATTAATAGGCTTAGAGCATATTGAAGCCCTTGTACTTTAACAGTATTTAGTTATATCCAATAGATATTTAGTTATAAGCGTTGTGGTGCATCGTGTTATTTATTAGAATAATTTAGAGATTTTTTAAAAAATGTATTTGAATAGCTTAGTCAGTAGCCAGTCCATGTGGTTGAAAAAAAAGTTTTTACAGGTCTTTCTAATACATGAGAATTGAAACATGATTGGTTTTTTGCCTCCCCTTTTCCCCTGCTGGCTCATTTTAAATTTCTCCTAATCCTCTGAGCCCCAAATTCCTTTGCAATATAAGTATCTTTTTGTTCCATTCGCAGGACAACACTATTTGAATAGATCTGCCATGGGTTAAGGATAAAGGGCATTAGGAAACAGCTGTCTAATTAAAAATATATAAACCTATGCAATTCTTTGTAAATATTTCCAAGAACTGAAGCTTTTTGTTACAAAATGAAATTTTATCATATTGGATGTTTATCTGCGAGAGAGGTTTAAACTGAGCTTATTATATAGTTCTGTGTGCTGTTTTTGTTGTTTTAACTCAGTGTTACAAAAAGAGAATTAAAAAATTTCTCTAAAGCAACATGGCAATAAAGAAATGTAGTTATGTCTCCATGACAGCAACCATCTGGAGTCAAATGAAAAACTCAGTAACTTACCTAGATACATCGTGTATAGGATGTTAAACATCCAAGTGATTGATTGAATTTTAAAAGATTTTGGCTGGATTTTTGATTGTCTTATAAAAAGAGCTAGTGGGGCTCCAGAATTCCTGGTCTTGAGCATCTGTTGAAATAAAATATTGCCTGAAACCTTCACCTTACATATTTACTTCTTTTTGGTAATACATGTAGTTATTTAAAAATTGATTTATATGTCCACGTAGATTTGTTAAAACCATATTGGAAAAGATTGTGTACTGAACATCTCATTTATGGAATGTAATGACCACGTATACATGGTTTCTGGCATACAGATAAAAATTGGAAAATGGAAATGTTTAGATATTTTCCTATAAAGGTCCAAACACCCCCAGGTGAAAATTGTAGTCTTGGTCCAAATATTTGTTTTAAATAGACAGAAAAAATTCTAATGGGGGAAATAAATCAATTGTAAAGCAAGATAGTTGGTCACTTTTAATGAAAAATAATGAATAAGAGTGTGACCATATGTTTATGTTTTGAGAAGTCCCCAAAACTAAGAATTTTGAAGGAATGTTTTAGTTGTTTCCAATAAATGTACATTTAAACTTGGGTCTAAATTATAGACTTTTTAGTTTCTTATATGTATAGTACAGGATGTTTTTACCTTGTTGTTAGCAAAATAGATTAGTGCACACCATTCAGACAAAGCATCCTATTTTTTGTTGCTTCTAGAAAAGAACAATAGTTCTTCAGATCTATTTCATGCAAATAAGTTTAGACTTCATTATTTCTATTTAGTAGAGTATGGAAATTTCTCCATAGTTGATTCTCTGATTATATGTATTTACAGTTTTTATATTGGAAACAGATGCCTTGAGTAGTCACTGTTGATAATTGCATCTGTCACTTGCATTTCTAAATCTGATGGATCTTATAGAGTAGTTCAGCTGAGTTTGCAATGTATACAAAGGTACGTCCTAAGCCAGTAATTTCCTTTTTGCAGGTTACTCACCCGAAAAAAGAGTAACATAAAGGCAAAAGTCTTGGTCTGTCCACCCTCAACCTATGAGATTTCTTTCTTTAAAGAGGAAATGGTGAAAATCAAGTCAGTGGTGTGAGAAACATCAAGTCTCATGAACCAAAATGCAAATATTTGAAAGGGAAAATGAGCACTTCTGAAATTTACATCAGTGCCTTTATGGGTCTGGAGCATTTCATGCCAGATTTAGAGACCATTTAAATCCCTTTTTAAAATTGGGCCCAATGTATTCTGCAGTTAATAGTCATAAAATCCTGTGATTCAGTTTATGTCATTCCTAATGGCCATGTATGGTATAAGACTAATATAGACTCGTTCTTCAAGTTCAAAGCCAATTCAGCCATAAAGCACTAGGAAAAGAGAGCTGATTTTGTTTTTTAAAAAAATCTTGTATTTATTTAAGATTTTCATAATGTGTGGGCCATTATCTAGGCCATTTTTTAAAAAGTAGGAAAATCTCTTCTGATCAGATTTTATTGTAAATATGTGCAAAACAAATGAAGGTTACAGTTCTTTTTTATATATGTGATTATTAAAATCATTGCAGTTGGATATTTAAAGAGCATTTTTTACTGCTAATTTTATATTTCCTTAGCCTGAGTCTTTCCCGCTACCTATATTTAATCTGTTTGTTTGTTACATTTCAGGCCTGTGACAAGGACCCCCAGTGTGGTGGAGACATGTGCTGTGCTGTTAGTATCTGGGTTAAGAGCATAAGGATTTGCACACCTATGGGCAAAGTGGGAGACAGCTGCCATCCGCTGACTCGTAAAGTTAGTATATATATTTGTATGCGTGGTGAGTCTCTTATGTTGCAGTGCCTTCACTCCAAGCAAGGCGTATATGACATGACCCCAGGGTGATGTGCGTGAAATTGGAAGTTAGAGAAGATGACATCAGAAAATCACCTACTCTCTCCTTCCATTTTAAAGAATTGTGCTTTCTGCCCTCCTTATTCTGGTGATCATTTTCATGTCATTGCTCTCATGGCGTTAGAAACATTTCATCAAAATAATTTCAAACACATGAATTTGCTTTAAAATTATTTAGGACCAAAATATATATATATATTATACCGTGTGTGCTTCTTTGCAAAAATCAGAGTCTAGAAGTTCTCAAAAAGACTTTTAATATCAGCCCTACAGATGAGGCAGAAGTAAATAAGTTTGTGTTTTGTGTTTTGCAGAAAATCATCGATAATACAATTACTCTTGTATCTTAATTTAATTTTATTTATTTATTGTTTTTCCCCCAAAGCCCCAGTAGATAGTTGTATGTCATAGCTGCACATCCCTCTAGTTCCTGTATGTGGGACGCGGCCTCAGCATGGCCGGAGAAGTGTCGCGTCGGTGTGCGCCTGGGATCCGAACCTGGGCCGCCAGCAGCGGAGCACGCGCACTTAACCGCTAAGCCACGGGCTGGCCCTCTTGTATCTTAATTTAAAAGTCCTATGTTTTGACTCTATCTATAGAAGATTGTGTGTAATCCTAGAGGTTAATGATATTTAATTTTTCAATTTATTTTATTTTCTAATAGCTCAATAACACAGTGACCTAAACAACACTTTTGAGAAGTAATTGACAATATGTGACATGACCATACGATGGCAGGATTGAACAGGGCTCCAGGGGCTATGTTGCAGGCTCTCCTGTCTGCAGGGGGCGCCAGGCGAGTTTGCATTACATTAGGAGGGGTGGGTGGGAGACAGGAGGGAGCAGAGAAGTATATGGAGCCTGGAGAGTCCTTGCCCTTCAGATTCACAACTTTTGAAACACAGTATGATCTCAGCAAAATCTCCCAGGGAGGCCAGGTTGCAGCGTCTTGCTTCCCTGCTCCCACCTCTTTGTCTTACCCACCAGGACAGTGAAGTCCAGAGGCGCCAAAGGACATGTCCCAGGCCGGACGGCTTGTGGGAGGCCGAGCTCAGTCCCTCTGCCGTGTTCTCTCTGCACATTGTATATTCTCGTTTTAACATAGATTGAATGTTTTCAAACCAACCCGAATTCCACCTTCTACCTTTTTTTTTTCACATGTGGCATAGCGTTTAAAACTGTAGTAGAGCCAGCCATCTTTCCTGTACTCCACAGTTGCAGATAACAGTTACTATTCTGACTTGCTTGGAATGAACCTAATGAAATAAATGGGCTTAGGTTTAGCTCTGTGAGCTGTAATAGGCACTCGGGTTGTTTGGACCCATCTGAAGACTGAATTTGGCTTTCCTGTGGTTTTCTTGAGAAATACTTCCTGTTACGTGTAGACCGTGCCTCCCCGTGGTGGTTTTGCCACTCGAGACTGGACTGTCATTTTTAAACATGACATGTACCTTCTATTCTTGGCCATTTTATTTTTTTTAATTAATTAGTTTATTTTTTTGTGAGGAAGGTCAGCCCTGAGCTAACATCCATGCCAGTCCTCCTCTTTTTGCTGAGGAAGACTGGCTCTGGGCTAACATCCGTACCCATCTTCCTCCACTTTATGTGGGACACCGCCACAGCATGGCCTGACGAGTGTTGCATTGGTGCACACCCGGGATCTGAACCCCGGGGCCGCCAGCAGCGGGGTGCAAGCACTTAACCACTACGCCACAGGGGCCGGCCCCTTGGCCATTTTAGAACAGGAAAGGTTCTAAACCGTTAGTCACCTGTCTCGATGCCAAACTCCCCACGAGGAGGTGAAGCTGGCCCGGCCCCCTTTGGCACTGGTCTGAGTTTTTTCATCACCCTTATCGAATATGAGTCATCTTTTGTACATTTGAGTCTCTGTTGTTGAAAATTTGACTCTTAACTCAGCCTTCTCCTTTAAGAATGATGTTGTTTTTGTCCAGTGTTAGTATAACTTCACATGCCCTAGGTAGTAGAATCACTAAGCCTGTTTGCTAAAACAAGTGAAGACTGACATATTCTGTGGAACTATTTTTATATTAACAGCAATAATAGTTGCCACTTGTCGCCATGATGTACCAGATACTCTGTACTAAATGTTATTTTTCTTATTTAATACTCACATCAAGCCTGTGAAGTAGGTTTATTTTTGTCATGTTCTCCGGACAACAACATTCAGCCTCATTCAGCCTCAGAGGACTTCGGTAACTGCTTGAGGTCACAAGGTGATAGGTCAGAGGGCAGGCACTGGACTTCACGTCTTTCTGGCGCTCCATTGTCTGTGCGGTCTCAACCACTGTACTCTTCTACTCCGTGAAAGCTATCGTTGTGTTTAATTTGAACATTTTTTAGTCCCGTTAACCAAAACTGGTTTGTGTGGGTAAAATGGTCACTGGAATAAGGGATAAGAGTCCCGAGTGGGATTTCGTCTCATCCTGTAGTTCCGATGAGTTTTCCAAATCTGAGATATTTTTAAAAGAGAACCAAATTCTATTTCCCCGGTTCCTATATAGTTTCTAGTTCAGGTTTAGTGCAAGGTTAGTTCTGAAAGTAAACAAAATCATTCTTCTCCCATAAACCCAGGGACAGCTCTACGCTTTTGTTTTTATCACAGTTTTAATAATGACATCTTTAATAACGGATTATGGTTTTCATAGTAGAATGAAGTGAGAAAAGAAGTGAAATACTAAGAAAAATAAGGTTTTATGTCAGATCTGAACCTTCATCCTGTGTAGATGCCCACTTGAAATGTGTTTCTAGAACTCAATGTTACAGCTTTTCATATTGGTTATTTTTTCTGTCTTGAAAATACATTTTCATAGGTCATTTCAGTGACCTATTTTTAGTCCCAGAGTTGTTACTTGTTCTGGATGAAATTAACCTATCCTGGTGAAAATCTAGTTTCTTCCAGAATATCTTTTGACTATATTCTATTCAAAATAACCTGAGGAAAAAAATTTTCTAAATATATCCTAGTGCAACTCTACTCTGAATTTTAATGGCTCATTAGTAGATGGTGAAAATGTAAACACTCTATAGAAAATTCTATTTTAATGTGATGTATTCATTACTACCCCCCCCCAATTTTAACAAAAAATGGATTAACTAGTTGTAGTCACAGGGATTAGTGTTTTAAAAACACGAGGCTATGAGTACATGAAGATAACACCTGTTCAGATTTTAAACTTTCCGTTCTGGTTTGGCTTAGTCATTAGCCACAGAAGTCTGTTTATTTTAATAAAGTGAACAATATTTGATGAATGAAATTGAGAACCATAAGTAGGAATTGATAGCCATTGAGTTCAGCTTACTATTTTATTTCACATGCATCAATTAATTTGTAGAGTTTACAGTCACTTCGAGGCTTTAATTTTGTAATTGTATAGTTTTTAACTTTACATTTGATAATTCAAAAATAAAAAGTCTACCTAAGAAGAACAGGATGCATGTTTTTTAAACACATTTTTAAGAAAATAATAGTTTTAGCATGTATTCATTTTTCACAATTAATTTTTAACACTGAATTAAGAATGAGTTACTGAATCATTTGTTTACAGGGAATGTTTCACTGTTTTTAAAGATTTTATTTATTTATTTTTCCCCCAAAGCCCCAGTACATAGTTGTCTGTCATAGCTGCACATCCTTCTAGTTGCTGTATGTGGGATGCGGCCTCAGCATGGCTGGAGGAG